CCTACTGATTGACCTGAGTCCGTTGTTACGGCGAACATATGCATAGTGATTCAGTAGTATCTACTGACAATTATTACTGTACTTTGTTTTACAATAAACCTGGCTGGGCGCTTTCTGTCCTTATCTGATTGTCTTTGGGGGCTATCTCGAGATCTGCAATGTTCACTGATTTCGTAGGTCAACACTGCACATGTCATTGAGCACACACGCAGGCAGGCTTCTGGTTATCATCATCGATGGAGCCAGAGACCTGTCAGGACTAAGGATGTTAAGGACTAGTCAACGAGTCAATTCTCCCCCCTTGCTGCCTTTATCAGATAGAAGAGGGGATAATTCAAAGCAGCAGTTGCGCACAACTGATCCCTGGCTCACCTGCGCAGTGCTGATGCTTTTGAAATGCCTGAAATGGTTGCGTTTCAAGGTGGCAGCACCATATGGAGCCCAGGATCAGCTGGGGTTCTTGGGAAATGCTGCACAGATTCTGAGTCCACCACTAATCCCAGTGGGGCTCTTGAACACTTCAAAGCTGGCATGCCCACGTGCAGCCCGGAGTCAGCGGGACTCCTCACTGGCCCGAGCTTCACGCCGAGTTCTGCATTCCTCCTTTGAAATGTACTAGAGCCCCAGCAAAGGGCATTTTTAGGACATTTCAAAGGAGGAACTTGGAAATGCCTATCAACTAGTCGAATTGTCGATGGAAATTCCATCAACGACTCAACTAGTAAAATAACTGATAGTTAACATCCCTAGTCAGGACACCATGACAATATATCTTGACCTTCTTCACCATCAGTGACCCTACTACACTAGTGTGCTGGACCGGGGGACGCAAAAAACTCTGGGCTCAGTTTCAGGCTCTCACACTTCCTTTGTGGCTTGAGGCAAGTAACTTAATCTCTCAGAAATGGGGATCATAAAATCATAGAACCATAAAGCTGGAAGAGACCTCAGAAGGCCATCAAGTCCAGCCCCCTGCCCAAGGCAGGACCAATCACAATTAAATCAACCCAGCCAGGGCTTTGTCAAGCCGAGACTTAAACACCTCTAGGGATGGAGATGCCACTTCTTCCCTAGGTAACCCATTCCAGTGCTTCACCACCCTCTTAGTGAAATAGTTTTTTCTAATCTCCAACCTAGACCTCTCCCACCGCAACTTGAGACCATTACTCCTTGTTCTGCCATCCGTTACTACTGAGAACAGCCTTTCCCATCCTCATTGGAACCTCCCTTCAGGAAGTTGAAAGCTGCTATCAAATCCCCCCAGTCTTCTTTTCTGCAGACTAAATAGACCCAATTCCCTCAGCCTCTCCTCATAGGTCATATGCTCCAGCCCCCTAATCTTTTTAGTCGCCCCCCCATGAGCCCTCCCCAATGCATCCACATCCTTTCTATAGTGGGGGGGAGAGGGCCAGAAATGGACACGATACTCCAGATGTGGCCTCTCCAGAGCAGAATAAAGAGGAATAATCACATCTCTGGATCTACTTGCAACACTCCTCTTAATCCACCTAATATGCCATTGGCCTTCTTGGCTACAAGGGCACACTGTTGACTCATATCCAGCTTCTCATCCACTGTAACCCCCAGGTCCTTTTCTACAGAACTGCTACTTAGCCAGTTTGGTCCCCAGCCTGTAACAATGCTTGGGATTCTTCCGTCCCAAGTGCAGGACTCTACCCTTGTCCTTGTTGAACCTCATCAGATTTCATGTGGCCCAATCCTACTATTTGTCTGAGTCACTCTGGACCCTATCCCTGCCCTCCAGCATATCTACTTCTCCCCCTAGCTTAATGTCACCTGCAAACTTGCTGAGGGTGCAATCCATCCCCCTCATCCAGATTATTAATAAAGATATTGAACAAAACTGGTCCTAGAACTGAGGACAGAGAAACCGCTAGAAACCAGTCCGCTAGAAATATCTACCTCTCCCCCTAGCTTAGTGTCATCTGCAAACTTGCTGAGGGTGCAATCCATCCCCCTCATCCAGATTATTAATAAAGATATTGAACAAAACTGGTCCTAGAACTGAGGACAGAGAAACCGCTAGAAACCAGTCCGCTAGAAACCGACCACCATCCTGACACCGAGCCGTTGATCACTACCCGCTGGGCCCGGCCTTCTAGCCATCTTTCTGTCCATCTTACCGTCCATTTATCCAGTTCACATTCCCTTAACTTGCTAGCAAGAATGTTGTGGGAGACCATATCAAAAGCTTTGCTAAAGTCAAGGTATACCACATCCACTGACTTTCCCGTATCCACAGAGCCAGTTACTTCATCATAGAAGCTAATCAGATTGGTCAGGCACGACTTGCCCTTTGTGAATTCATGCTGACTATTCCTGATCACTTTCCTCTCTTCCAAGTGCCTCAAAATGGATTCCTTAAGGATCCCTTCTATGCTTTTTCCAGGAACTGAGGGAGTTGAAGTCTGCTTTTCTGAAGTCCAAGGTGTGTATTTTACTACTCTCTTTTCTTCCTTTGGTCAGGATCCTGAAATCTACCATCTCATGATCACTCTTCCCAGGTTGTTACCCATCTCTACTTCCCCTATTAGTTCCTCCCTGTTTGTGAGCAGCAGATCAAGCTGCACACGGCCCCTGGTCAGATTCTTCAGCATTTGTACCAAGAAGTTATCTCCGAAAACTTCCTGGATTGACTGTGTACTGCCGTATTGGTCTGCCAACAGATGTCAGGGTGATTAAAGTCCCCCACGAGAATCAGGACCTGCAATCGGGAAACTTCTCTTAATTGTTCGAAGGAAGCCTGATCTATCTCATCCACCTGATTCGGCAGTCACCAACCACAACATCACTGCTATTGTTTGCACCTCTAAACTTAACCCATAGACTCTCACTAGGTTTTTCTCCCTCTATATACTGGAGTTCTGAGCAATCATAGTACTCTCTTACATATAGTGCAACTCCTCCTCCTTTTCTCCCCTGCCTGTTCTTCCTGAACAGTCTATACCCTTCCATTACAGCGCTCCAATCATCCCACCAAGTCTCCGTTATCCAAATCAAATCGTATTTCCTGAACTGGGCCAGGGCCTCCAATTCCTCCTGTTTGTTACCCAGGCTTCTCGCATTGGTGTACAAACACCTTAGATAACCAGTTGATCACCCTACCCTCTCCGTTCGAATCAGGTGTCCTCCTTTGTTGCTCATTCCTCTTTGCATTTCTTTCCGGTATCCTACTTCCCCACTCCCCTCAGGGTTTTTGTCACCATCCCCAAGTGAACCTCGTTTAAAGCCCTCCTCACTACGTTTGCAAGCCTGCCCGCAAAAATGATCCTTCTTCTCTTTGTTAGATGGATCCCATCTCTTACAAATAATCCTTGTGCGTGGAGCAGAGTCCCATGGTCGAACTAACCAAAGCCCTTTCTCCGACACCATCTGCACAACCACAAATTTACTTCCTCAATTCAACAATCCCTACCCAGTCCTTTCCTTTCAACAGGGAGGATGGACGAGAACACCACTTGCCATCTGAATTGTTTGATTCTTCTTCCCAACTCTGTAATCCGCTGTAACCCGCTCAAGGTCATTCTTGGCCATATCGCTAGTTCCCACATGGAGAAGCATGAAGGGGTAGCGATCCGAAGGTTTGTTCAGTTTTGTAAGATTCTCACTCACATCCTGAATTTGAGATCCTGGTAAGCAACACACTTCTCGAGATACCAGGTCCGGATGTCAGATGGATGACTCAGTCTCTCTTAGAAGGGAGTCCCTGACCACCAGCACCCGCCGTTTTCTTTTGGGGGTGGTGGTCCTGGAACTCCCATCCGTAGGACTATGAATCCCATGCCTTCCAGTAGAAGTGGTTCCCTTCCGATTTCTTCCTTGTGAGGTCCCTTCCAAAGCATTCACCACCGCAGAGCCTGTGGAGGGAGCCTGAAAGTGATTACTTACCTCTGTAGCAGTGGGGGATTCCTGTGCTGGCCTTTTGTTCCTTCTAGAAGTTACATGCTGCCAGTTCTCTTCCTCATCCTGTACTGCCCTCTCTGGCTCTTCCACCTGCCTTCCTTGGAGGATTAAATGCTGCCTTCTATCGAGGAAGTCTTCATCCTCTCTGATCAAGTGTAGGGTTGACACTTGGACCTCCAGTCCTCTAATTTTTTCTTCCAAAATGGCGACCAACTTGCACTTATTGCAGATGAAATCCCTTCTTTCTTCTGGGAGAAAGACAAACATGGCACATGCTGTGCAGGTAACAATAGCAGACCTATCACTATTCATACCTGCTGTCCTAAAAAAGGGTTTAAAGGAAAGGCAAGAATACCTCGCTCCCTTCCCTCTCCCCTCCAAACTCCCTCTCTAAACTTCCTGTTTGCAATCACCTGTTCACAAGGTCCCTGGTCACTGACTCACTCCTTTATAAAGCCCTGGACTGCCTGATAGTCCCTTCCCCTACCAAGGCTCGGCCAGTCAATAGATGCTTCTAGATTTCAAACTTTAATTAGAATCCAACAGTTTCCAGCTGCCTGTCACAGCACACACTCCGTTGGGGGAGGAGGGGAAGGAAGGAAGGAAAAAAATACTTCCTCTCTCCCATCCCTAGGCTGCATCTACACTACAGCCCAGATCAACACTTTTAGATCAATCCACAGGTGGTTGATTTCGTAGGTCTAGTGAAGACCTGCCAGATTGACTACGGATTACTCTCCCATCATCCCTGTTACTCTACCCGAGACAAAAGGAGCAAGGGAAGTTGATGAACAAGTGATAACTTGACTTAAGTTACTTCTACTTCAGCTATGTTGTTCCTGTAGCTGGAATTGCATAGCTTGTTGACTTTCTGCTGTAGTAAAGATGTCACCATAATCTTGTCTCCCTATGTTGTAAAGAGCTTCATGCAGGGGTATCTTTTCCTGTGTATTGTATGACACCTATCACATTGGGGCTCTGATCCCAGTTGGATTGCACTGTACTACTATAATATAAATCAGTAATTACTGTGGTGATACTTATGTATGTTTTCAAATGTACTTTTATCTCCTCAGCTGAGTGAGGAAGGAGAGCACTTAGCTGAGCATCCAGAGTCAGTGGAAGAGGGGGAAGAAGAGGACGACGATCAGGATACCAGCTCAGCTATTTTGCCAGGTGAGAGCTGCTGCTCCATGAGTCGTCTGTTGATCAAGCTGTTTCTTTTGAATGGTCTAGTTGGGACCAGTTGGAACAATAAATGGCCCGCTTTCAGAATGAAATACCAAAGGGAAGTGACTAGTTCTTTATCCATTAGGTCAGGGATGGGCAGTAATTTTTGCATGGGGGCCATTTAATGAATTTTGGTACATGGGCATGGGCCGACTCCACCCCCAGAAGGGGCAGGACCTGTCTCTCCCCCAGAGTTGTTTGGGGCCAGAGACTTTGAAGGAAAACAAAGCCACTACCATGTTGCCTGGTAGCCGCCCAGGATTGCTGTGACTATTAAATGGGCTCACAGCTATGGTCCCTGCTGGGGTAGCTTTGTGACCAGGAGCCCTTTAAATAGCCTCAGCAACCCTAAGTGGCTCCCAGGCAACGTGGTAGCAGTGGGGCCAGGAGCTGCGAGCCTTTTAAATATCAGCAATTTAAAAGGGGACCAGGAGCTGTAATCCATTTAAATAGGATCCTGCTGCCTGAGCTACTGCTTGGAAATTCAGTGGCACAGGTAGCAGGATATAACTAGAAAGTAACCAGATGCAGTTAGAAGCCTGGATCAAAGCGTTAGATGGGCTGTACCTTGCCTGACCCTGAATTAGACCATCAGTGTATCTCATAGACTCCTAGGTCTGGAAGAGACCTCCAGCCCCCTGCCCAAAGTAGGACCAATCCCAACTAAATCATCCCAGCCAGGGCTTTGTCAAGCCAGGATTTAATTCCCCCCCTCCCTAAGTAACCTATTCCATTGCTTCCCCACCCTCCCAGTAAAATAGTTTTTCCGAATATCCTAGACCTCCCCCACTGCAATTCTCCTTTGCTCCAGACATTAACCAGGTGTTAGAACTAAACCAAAATCCAGCAAAATCCTTGTCAAAAGAAAATGCTTTTCTACCTCAGCAGGGTGAAGTAGTGAGCTGACTTTACTGGGATTTGAATGTGTAATTCCAGAGAGCCAGTGTATTGCAAGTTCGCCTAGCTAAGCAAATAGCACAGATCTAACAAAAGATGTGGCTTTAAACTAATGTAGGTTGTGTCTACACTGCAGAGCTTTGTCAACAAAAGTTATGCTGTTTTAATTAGGGATGTAAGTGACTAATCAACTAGTTAACTATCCGATAAGCAAAAGCTCATTGGATAGTCAGCTAGTTGCTTCTCTCTCCCTCCTTGCTGCCTTGATCAGAAGGAGGCAGCAAGTGGGAGGAAGGAGAAGGGAGTATTGAGGGGAGCTGGCTTAAAAGCCGGTTTCCTCCAGCTCCATGGGAGGGGGTAGGGACAGTGTTCCATCTTTGAAATCTACAAGAATCCCCGCTGGAGCTCTTGTACATTTCAAAAGCAAAACACCGCGCGGCACTTCCGCCTTCAAATGTAGTGATGGCCCAGTGGACTCTTGCTACATTTCAAAGCGGAAGCACCTTTATCGACTAATTGAATAGTTGATGGAAATTAATTTTAACATCCCTAGTTTTAATGAAACTGCTGTTGCCTGTCCACATTGCTTCTGGTGTCAGCAGAGTGTATCCAAGCTAGCAGCTCTTGCATTGACACAGGGAGCAACATATTTCCCATTGCAGCTTGCCAGGGTACTTTGGAAAGGATTTGCAATGCCTCATTGGACAAGTAGAGCATCACGTGACTCAGGTTTCTCCATCCCATTGTTCCCTGGGCATTCTTGGGGAGCCAGCCTACCCCTTGCTCCCAGGGCTTATGAAGCCCTACACAGGTAGGCTGGACCCCACTAAGGAGTGGTTCATCTACAGGCTGAGCAAGTGCAGAATGGTGGTTGAATGTGCTTTTGGAAGTTTAAAGGGAAGTTCTAGGAGTCTCCTGACTAGGTTGGACGTCAGCGAATGCAATATTTCCTTTGTGGTGTCAGTCTGCTGAGTGCACCATAATCTTTGCTAGAGCAAGGGGGAAAGTTATCAGGCAGGGTGGGGGACTGAGGCAGAGTGCCTAGCCAGAGACTTTGAGCAGCCAAATACCAGGGCAATAAGGAGAGCACAGCGCAAATCAGAGAGGTTTTAAAGGAAAGTTTTATGAATGGCCAGTTTTGAGAGTAATTCATGCACGTTGCTTTCAATTAGGTACCCCGGCATTCACTGTGTTTGCCTATAATCCCCACCCCATCCCTATAGTACAAGCAATAAAGAGCCTGTTGTTTAGAAATCATGCCTTTTTATTTAGGGGATACTGCAGGAAAATAAAAGACATCCATGGTGGGAACCTGAAAAGGAGAGGGGGCTCAGAAATGTGTGAAGGACAGACTTCTGCCTCCTGAGGTCCTGGAGATTAAGGCTGTCCTTGAGTCACCTGCTGTCCCGAAGCCCCTTGGGATGGAGGCTATGGAGCTGGGGGAGGAGGAAAAGTTATTTTGCATGGGGTGGAGGGAGTTCTTGGAGGGGGAAGTGTTCTCCAGACACACAATCAGGCTCTCCATTACTGTCATCCGGGAGGCAAAGATACCGCCCTGTTGCCTGGTCTGCAACTCCCTGCACATTCTTCTCTCCTGCCATTCCGCGACCATGTCCTAGCACTCAGTGCACATCTCCTCCAGGAGTGTATTCATGCAGTCCATTTGCTCCTTGAACTTTTCTTCCCTTGGCTGTTTTCACCTGCGGATCTGCACCAGGCAGACAGCTGGTAGAGCCGGAGGAGTACACAGTGAGCTGGCTGCTGTTCCCACTGTAACAAAAAGTTACAAGAGCACAGATTACAGAAGATACCTTGTGTTAAATCTACCCCAATCTGTTAATGTACAGCAAAGGTCTCCATTAAGACAGTGGAGAGGTTTCTGTACAAAGCCAAAGTTTTGCTTTAAAGCGTTCACTGTATAGCAGGTACACAGCAGAGTTATCAAGGGAACTTCTGGACTTGTGTGGAAACAGGATAGTAAGGGGCCTGTCAAGGCACGATGCTGACTGAATGTGGCCAGAAACCTGGGCCTTATGCTGCAATGCTTTGTGGTTCAATGATGTCAGACCATTTACTGCTGGCTTGGCATGGGAAGGTGTCCTATTGTAGAGGATGGAATAAGGCTGGCCTGCCCAAAAACCTTGTGAGAAACATCAAAGAGTTCCTCACTGAACACTTCATGGAACTGTGCAGGGAGGACTCCCACTCCATCTGCAGACATATTAACAAGCTGTTGCAGGCCCTTCGCGTTATGTATGCACAGAGCACATAGCACATCACACCCAATTGCCTTAACCCGCTTGTAGTAAGCAAAAAATTGTGAACTCACCAGAAGTGCCCTCCTCAGGATCTGTGATCACCTGGGAGATGTCCTGGGAGGAGGAGACTGGCTCCAACATAATAAAAAGCTCTTGGCTCTTGCCAGTCACCATCTAGACATTCTCCAACTTCTCCTATCCCTCTGCCACCGTGCTGTCCTCCATTCTGATGCCAGGAGTGTCTTGATTGGACTCCACAGTCAGGCTTGGGAAGCGGGTTGAGTCCCCTCTAAAATAGCATCCAGCTGCTCATAGAACCAGCATGTTTGTGGTGATGCTCCAGATGATCCGTTCCCCTTCTTTGTCTTGTGGGACAACTGCCTCAGCTCCTTTATTTTCACTCTGCATTACTGGGCGTCCCTCAAGTATCTTTTGGCCACCAGGCAATTTGCGATCTTTGCATAAATGTCCATGTTTTTTTGCTTGTTTGGAGCTTGGACAGAATGGATTCCTGTCCCCATGCCTTGATGAGGTCCAGGATCTCCTGACACTCCACACTGGCACTTTTCTGTGCCCCTGGGAACTGGAGCTCATGGTACATGAAGTATTGGAAGTCATGGCCATGTGTGCTGCTCAAGTGTGCTGCCTGCTCTGAGGTGTGCTCACAATGCTGGCCACCCGGGAAATGAAATTCAAACTTTTCCAGGGCTTTTTCTATTTTCTTGGAAAGCAGTAGAGGCACATGTTCTGGCCAGAGTGGGGCATTGTGGGATGCCTCCCGGAGGCAAATAACATTGACTTTAACCAACTCTGCATCTACACTGTTGTAAACTCAACCGGGAAAGGTCCGGAATAGCATTATGCTTCGTGAAATCAGGAGTACCCAACATTGATTTCAGTGGCCTTTAAGGTCAATGAGACAGGCTTGGGAAGTTGGACACATCGTTTAGAAAATCAACCTTAGGTGGCTAAATTCGGTGTAAATGCCTAGTGTAGACCGGGCCTCAGTGTCCATACTCCCTTTTGCACTAGTTTTAAAAAACAGTGCAAGGTTAATTGGTGCCATTTTCTTGTGCAGGAAAGGCCCTGGTGAAGTGGTTTTTTAATACAGCTACCGGGGCTTTTTTTTCAGCCACAGCCTCATGGGCCATGATTAGGGGAGAGGATGGCAAAGCAGCAACTCCTCTCCTGAGGCTACCTGCAAGGGTTGGCCCTTTCTCTGGCTGCTTCTCCTACAGTGTTTGTGGTTCTGGAAGGGCGAGAGTTCACATCCTTCCTGGGGTGGTGGGATTTGGGCTTCTGCTTTGAGGTAATGGACGGCAGGCTCTGGCCATGTGGCAGTGGGTTTTGTACATCTCTCCCCAGTCTCAGGGTTTGGGGCGCCATCCTTTAACTCGCTCCCTGCCATCACATCAATCCTCACTGTCTCCTTCAGATCCCTATTGCCCTGGCCTTCCTCCCTCCTTACCCACCTCCTCATCCAGGGCTTGATTTGTCCCCCAGCTTGCTGAGTAAGTCTGCTGTGAAAACAGATATCACTTTTCATAGTAGCAGACTAACTAGCAATCTTAAAAAAAACCACCCCAAAAACATGCAAAGCACCTTATTTTTGTTTCTATTTTGTTTAGATCCAATAAAGAATAGATAAACAATAAAAAAATAGTGTATTGACAGAAAAACCCAAAATAAATTAAATCACAATGATGTGGACATGTATGCGTGCATATTTATTTGCTAAAGGATTGTGAGCTGTGGCAGCAGGTTGGGGTGCTGGATCTGGGTGGGGGTATG